CCTGCCGTCGCTGCCTTATCCTCTGGGGGATGGACAGTGGCGATAGGCGGAGGGTTAGCGCTGGTGCCTTCGTGTCCCGACTTCGGGTTGCGACGGAACCAGTGCGCCCAACGCGAGGAATTTATTTTCATCTCATCAAACATCGATGGCTGAACGACTTAATGGTAAACGTTTCCAAAGAATGGCGCTCGTTCAAAGGCTAAGGTGTAGGAAGTCGTGCTTAGCGTCTGTATGACTGCAGAACGTAAAATCGAGCAGTCTCGAACGACGCCTCTAGGATACCTGTCGCCCCCCTGGAGTAGTCAGACTTAGTGGCATATAGGTGGGTACGTCATTCGACTTCTTCTATCTGCCAAAATAAAATCAAAAATCATAAGGAAGATAATAATAATAAGACATTGCAAAGAATGACTTCCAAGGAAGGGAAAGTAGCAGAAATTAGAAAGTGTCGAAGTGTTAGGATAGTCCTGGAGAGGTGCAATGAATAATTACAGCCCACGGAGACAGCAAGAACAATGCAAGCTATAAACGCAGCTTTAACAAAGAAAAGAACAACTTGCCCAAAAGAGGCAAGGGTAGTCATAGAAAAATGTGATACCCGAAGGAAGCCAATAAAGACAGTTAGCAACTTTCGTGCTGTCAAAATAGCTCTGGTACGATGTGATAATCTGTTGATGCAATATGCACACCAACGAAAAGAGCAAACGGAAAGAACAAACAATATGCACCGTCATGAAATCCACATAGTCCTACAAAGAAGCGACGCACAAGGATATGATACACAGGCGGCACTAGCTTCCAGTTGCAGGAAGCAAGGTGAGAGCAATACCTTTTATGGGTTAGGAACAGGGATGAAAGTTGCTGCAGTGTGCTCGGAACGCCTATGGGGGTTGGTAGCGATCAGCAACCCCTGTCAGAAAATGATATTTATTTCGCAGCTCAGCACGACCCACTGTGTGTGTGCGGAAGTGCAGGCTCTCGGCATATCAATATACGTCGTGTCATGCTATTTTCAGTACAGTGACGAGATTGAGGGCCACCTCAGGCACCTCGAGAAGTTGTTTCATTCCCTGAGGGGTGAGAGACTAATAGTAGCGGTAGATTCCAACACACGATCGTCGCTTTGGGGCTCTCATGAGACCGACGAGAAAGGAAGGAAGTTCGAAACCCTCATTCGTGCGTTTGGCTTTGAGGTAATAAATGAAGTACATCAAGGACCCACCTTCAAAACGAGGAGGGAATCATCTTACATAGATGTGACCCTGGTGTCCCCTCGAATAAGCCAACTCATCGGCACACGGATGGTAAGGCGACAATGGACAACTAGTGACCACAGTTCCATGGAGATCGGGCTGAGGGTATCGAGGATGACAAATGACCGCAGTGCTGCGAATTGTAGGTTCGACACTCGACGGGCCGACTGGTAGCTGTTCTGTGAGAGTCTGAAAGGTCTATCTGGATTAAGACTCGGGGCCCTCGGCCCGGAATCTTCGGAGGAAGCAAAACGGATGGCCGAGCAATTGCAACAGGTTATCTTAGAGGCATGCGAAAAATCGATGCCAAAGAAGAGTTTTTAGGAGATCAAATCCATGGTGGACGGAAGAACAATGTGTCTCTTTGACTCTTAGTACGAACATAACTGTTGCTTTTGCTAATATTGTAACTTTGAGTACATCACAACAATT